ATTTATCCGGAAGCAATATTCTCATCAGTTTTCAATCAGCTTTGATATAATATATTAATATCTGCACCTTTAAAGGGACTGCCTTAATGATTGAGTCATTGATAATTCATTCAACGCCTGATTCATTCAAGAATGAGACATATGTTTATGAATGGGTCATAGAATCTTTGACTCAACTGATTCATTCAGTAATGCTAAATCATTCAGTAATGAAAACACGGTTAACTTTTCCTGTGAGATGAGGAATGGTTCTGCTGTGATCTTTGCTTGGAACTATTTTTTTAGGAAAAAAAAACAGCCAATATTGCATCTAAAATGTAAATTACTTAAAGGGATAATTCAGGATTTAGCATTAAGCTTTGTATTAGTAAAAAACCTGTAGTATTTTCAAATTACCATGCTTTCCACCCTCATATCCCCCTGAGACGAGAGATTTATGTATTTTTTGTCTGGAAAATATCCTCAGATGACGCAAAAATCTTTGGATTTTTTTGGCTAGAGGCTAAAGACTACAGTCAGTAGTAGGTAGGTAGGTAATCACGCCACCGGCCATGCGCCGTTCTCCCGCGGCCCTCGCTCGTCCTGCTCGCCACAGTAAACATAATGAATGGCGACTGTAGAAGGCAAAAAGCCAAATCCTGGACATTTTGGGCGATCTTGAAACACATTTTTGGGCAGACTCATCACAGAGACTCACAGCCTAGACTTGTTGTTTAACTACTGCACTCTGTTACTGGTAGGCGTGGCCTCCTAGTGCAGCGAAGCAAGTGCATTATGGGAGTTGTTGTCTTTCATCCACATAAGCCAAAAGTAAATTTTCTGGCTTTTCTTAGTCTAGAAAGCTCAAAATTCAAAAATAATAAATGACCCATTTTAAATTCACATTCGTCTTTCCAGAGGTAAAATATCCCTTTAATTTTAACTGTTTATTGATCTATACGAAATCAATGTAACATTTTCAATCGTGATGATATTCAGGAAACAGCACTTGTCATGTGAGGTTGCTTAACATAAGTTACAAATATAAAAACTCCACATTTTGAATTTTTATAGGCTGTATGTTGTTAACTGAGTTTCTTTTGTATGTGCTGCAGTCATTTGTATAGATTTCTCCCCGAGTGGCTGCACTTGCCTCAACAGCGCAAACTTGTTACTGTCAGTAATACATTTATTATCCACTATTGATTGCAACTTACAATAATTATAATGAAATCAGAATCATTCTTTCATCTTAGTCATTCCCTAGTTATTTTTTGTTGTTATTGATCTTCTACTCAGGCTACTTGTCCGGTCAGGCAAGTAAAATTCTCTTTTACTTATCTTTTCAAAAAATCCACTTGTCCCAGACAAGTGTTAATGTTGAGCCCTTTATACGTATATTAGGATACTTTGGTGAATAGAAAGTTCAAAAGAACATAGTTTCTTTAAAAATATTTTTTTGTTACATTATAAATGTCTTTACAGTCACTTTTGATCAGTTTAATGCATCCTTGCTCAATAAAAGTTTTGATTAAAAAAAAATCTTGTAGAAATGGAAGAGTACTTCTGAAAATAATGTGAATCACTCACTTTGAATGAGAATGTGCAAAATTGCTACCATATGACTTGGGTCCCTTTTTTAATATACGTTTAACCATCTTTTAGCTTGTCCACATCAGCATCATGTGACATCTCCATTACAGCCTTATTCGGATGAAAGTCAGATTTCCGATCAGATCGTTTCGCTATTTATAATATCTGTATACAGTACTCCAGTTTTATATACACATAGAAAGAGTGGAAAAGAAGCAGAGAAAACTAGAAAAAAGGATTCCTTTTGAGCCTGTAAACTTATCCGCTTAAAAGCCTGTAAACAACTCAGTAACACTGGATTTAGAGTAAATGGAGATGGGATGCAATGACAGTCACCCCGAAAGGGACCGTCAAGGAAAACATAAACCCAAATCCACTTCAGCGCTTCCTTTTCCTGTAAGAGACACGTTTGTTTCCTGTTTCCCATAGATTAAAAATAGATGTGAGGTTCCGTTTCCCATAGATGTTCACAAGTCCATATCACTGGAGTCCAAGTCAAGTTTGAAGTCTTTATCACTGGAGTCCGATTCAAGTCTGAAGACTTTATCACTAGAGTCCGATTCAAGTCTGAAGTCTTTATCACTGGAGTCCGAGTCAAGTCTGAAGTCTTTATCACTGGAGTTCGATTCAAGTCTGAAGTCTTTATCACTGGAGTCTGATTCAAGTCTGAAGTCTTTATCACTGGAGTCCGAGTCAAGTCTGTAGTCTTTATCACTGGAGTCAGAGTCAAGTCTAAAGTCTTTATCACTGGAGTCCGAGTCAAGTCTGTAGTCTTTATCACTGCAGTCCGAGTCAAGTCTGTAGTCTTTATCACTGGAGTCCGAGTCAAGTCTGAAGTCTTTATCACTGGAGTCCGAATAAAGTCTGAAGTCTTTATCACTGGAGTCCGATTCAAGCCTGAAGTCTTTTTTCACTGGAGTCCGAGTCAAGTCTGAAGTCTTTATCACTGGAGTCTGATTCAAGTCTGAAGTCTTTATCACTGGAGTCCGAGTCAAGTCTGAAGTCTTTATCACTGCAGTCCGAGTCAAGTCTGTAGTCTTTATCACTGGAGTCCGAGTCAAGTCTGTAGTCTTTATCACTGGAGTCCAAGTCAAGTCTGAAGTCTTTATCACTGGAGTCCGAATAAAGTCTGAAGTCTTTATCACTGGAGTCTGATTCAAGCCTGAAGTCTTTTTTCACTGGAGTCCGAGTCAAGTCTGAAGTCTTTATCACTGGAGTCTGATTCAAGTCTGAAGTCTTTTTCACTGGAGTCCGAGTCAAGTCTGTAGTCTTTATCACTGGAGTCCAAGTCAAGTCTGAAGTCTTTATCACTGGAGTCCGAATAAAGTCTGAAGTCTTTATCACTGGAGTCTGATTCAAGCCTGAAGTCTTTTTTCACTGGAGTCCGAGTCAAGTCTGAAGTCTTTATCACTGGAGTCTGAATAAAGTCTGAAGTCTTTATCACTGGAGTCCGAATAAAGTCTGAAGTCTTTATCACTGGAGTCCGAGTCAAGTCTGAAGTCTTTATCACTGGAGTCCAAGTCAAGTCTGAAGTCTTTATCACTGGAGTCCGAGTCAAGTCTGAAGTCTTTATCACTGGAGTCCGAGTCAAGTCTGAAGTCTTTATCACTGGAGTCCGAATAAAGTCTGAAGTCTTTATCACTGGAGTCTGATTCAAGCCTGAAGTCTTTATCACTGGAGTCCGAGTCAAGTCTGAAGTCTTTATCACTGGAGTCTGATTCAAGCCTGAAGTCTTTATCACTGGAGTCCGAGTCAAGTCTGTAGTCTTTATCACTGGAGTCAGAGTCAAGTCTAAAGTCTTTATCACTGGAGTCAGAGTCAAGTCTGTAGTCTTTATCACTGGAGTCCGAGTCAAGTCTGTAGTCTTTATCACTGGAGTCCGAGTCAAGTCTGTAGTCTTTATCACTGGAGTCCGAGTCAAGTCTGAAGTCTTTATCACTGGAGTCCGAATAAAGTCTGAAGTCTTTATCACTGGAGTCCGATTCAAGTCTGAAGTCTTTATCACTGGAGTCTGAATAAAGTCTGAAGTCTTTATCACTGGAGTCCGATTCAAGCCTGAATCTTTTTTCACTGGAGTCCGAGTCAAGTCTGAAGTCTTTATCACTGGAGTCTGATTCAAGTCTGAAGTCTTTATCACTGGAGTCTGAATAAAGTCTGAAGTCTTTATCACTGGAGTCTGAATAAAGTCTGAAGTCTTTATCACTGGAGTCCGATTCAAGCCTGAATCTTTTTTCACTGGAGTCCGAGTCAAGTCTGAAGTCTTTATCACTGGAGTCCGAGTCAAGTCTGAAGTCTTTATCACTGCAGTCCGAGTCAAGTCTGTAGTCTTTATCACTGGAGTCCGAGTCAAGTCTGAAGTCTTTATCACTGGAGTCCGATTCAAGTCTGAAGTCTTTATCACTGGAGTCCGAGTCAAGTCTGAAGTCTTTATCACTGGAGTCTGATTCAAGTCTGAAGTCTTTATCACTGGAGTCCGAGTCAAGTCTGAAGTCTTTATCACTGCAGTCCGAGTCAAGTCTGTAGTCTTTATCACTGGAGTCCGAGTCAAGTCTGAAGTCTTTATCACTGGAGTCCGATTCAAGCCTGAATTCTTTTTTCACTGGAGTCCGAATCAAGTCTGAAGTCTTTATCACTGGAGTCCGAGTCAAGTCTGAAGTCTTTATCACTGGAGTCTGATTCAAGTCTGAAGTCTTTATCACTGGAGTCCGAGTCAAGTCTGTAGTCTTTATCACTGGAGTCCGATTCAAGTCTGAAGTCTTTATCACTGGAGTCCGAGTCAAGTCTGTAGTCTTTATCACTGCAGTCCGAGTCAAGTCTGTAGTCTTTATCACTGGAGTCCGAGTCAAGTCTGAAGTCTTTATCACTGGAGTCCGAGTCAAGTCTGAAGTCTTTATCACTGCAGTCCGAGTCAAGTCTGAAGTCTTTATCACTGCAGTCCGAGTCAAGTCTGAAGTCTTTATCACTGGAGTCCGAGTCAATTCTGAAGTCTTTATCACTGGAGTCCGATTCAAGCCTGAAGTCTTTATCACTGGAGTCCGAGTCAAGTCTGAAGTCTTTATCACTGCAGTCCGAGTCAAGTCTGAAGTCTTTATCACTGCAGTCCGAGTAAAGTCTGAAGTCTTTATCACTGGAGTCCGAGTCAAGTCTGAAGTCTTTATCACTGGAGTCTGATTCAAGCCTGAAGTCTTTATCACTGGAGTCCGAGTCAAGTCTGAAGTCTTTATCACTGGAGTCCGAGTCAAGTCTGAAGTCTTTATCACTGGAGTCCGATTCAAGCCTGAAGTCTTTATCACTGGAGTCCGAGTCAAGTCTGAAGTCTTTATCACTGCAGTCCGAGTCAAGTCTGAAGTCTTTATCACTGGAGTCCGCAGTGATAAAGTGCAGATGCAGTAAGACATCACCAATTACAAAGATATTTAACTTCACACCTGTTTTTGATGCGTAGTTTCACTCCTCCGCTGCATCTGCCATCTCTGGAAGGACTAAGAGGACGGCGTTCAGAACAGCAGGGACCTGGACAACACTCTCTACAAACACAAACAGAAGTTTAGGTTAGAAATTTACTCTATAAAATCGCAAACAATTAAAGTGATCGTATTGTGGAAAACAGAACAGCTTTTTTTCAAAATGAAACAAAACATGATCAAATGTCCGTAACTAATCAAAACTTCCTGCTCAGTTCAGCCAGAACATCTTTAAACTTCTTCAAATTTTGTCAAAAATTATCATGATTATGACATCACAACCATGAGCTCATTAAGTTAAAAAACGGTAAAAAAAAATCTCAATACGCCTGCATGGTATATGAATGCTCCCCAAGAAATGCATGCGATGGACATGACTAAACAGGGCTTGACTAGTTGAATGTGAAAATATGTAATTTTGTACATCCCTAGTCTAGACAGTATAATCTCATTGGTTACTTTGCAGATGATGCGTGTCTGTTTGTCTTTAGATTATATATTTTTGGAATTTGGAGAATCAATGTTGGTCAGAGAGTCAGAGAACTCATTTAAAAGTTCACGTGAGTGTATTGTGTGTGCATGTTTGGGATTGACTCAGTTCAGAAGCTGTGTTGTAGCGATTGTATTTGACAAAGGAGGCACTGGCCGGTCCATTCACCACATGCTCACATGGACGTCATACACAGAGAGTTTCTATTACCCTGAAGGACAGGATATAGTGAAGCCAAGTCTACTGCACACTGCTCTGAAGTAAAAGCATTTATATTTATCATGATAGATAGATAGATAAATAGATAGATTTTATCTCCCTTCTTATTGTTATTATTATCACTAGCTATGTTTCCATCCATCTATTTTTATGCACCTTTTGGGATATCATAAAAAAAAATTGAATAGATGGAAAGGCCAAGATGCGCATAAATTCTAAACATGCACATTAAAAAAAACGTATGCGCTTTTATGCGATAAGAAGACCTGCACATTGCTTTCTGAAACACATTTATCGAATAAATTCCTCGATGCACAACAAAAAACTCATGTGACTTAACAGAGGATGTGACGACTGAACTATCCAGGGGACTAGGGCATCAAAATACATCAATACATCAAAACATGCATATTGCAACATGAACAAGAGAGAAAATCACTCCCTGCTCTCGACTGAATAACTTCTGTAGCTTTAATAATTATTTAACCCATACAGTGAAGACTAAGCAGCGTTTTATTTTTACTTTTGATTGTTCAGCTTCTGTTGTTACCTAAACCATAATGTAGAACTACCTGAAACCATAAACCCAGTGGTTTTAACACCGATGTTAAAATACCATGTATTAATCTACAGTAAAACACTGCTGTTAACTTTCAGAAGGTGTAGGGATGCTTTCTTCTGACATAAACAATATGAAACATTGTAGGTTATATAAATATAATTTAAGTTTATTTTACACACTTTAAGCATTATCGTATCGGATATCGGATTATTTAATGAGTTACTGCATATCGCATTTTTCTTTCGTGCAGCCCTACAGTGGACCAATCGCATCGCACAGCATCTCAAATGTTTAGTCATTTTGAAATGCCTGAGCTTTGTTTGTCATCAAAATGATTTGGTTTAATTTCCTCCATTCTTACACACCAGGCATCCGCCTCCGAACACAAGAAAATAACATGATAGCTTTTATTGCGTTTTGTCTGCATGCTCTGAGACACAAGTCATTTATGATGATGTAAGGAAACAGATTTATAGTTTCTTCCCCAATTGCAGCAACTTCCATTTTTATTAGATATTTTGCGCCGATTTTCCAGGAAGTGATGATTTTGTTCTTTTGAACACATGGAATGGAAAACTTTATTCACAAATGTATTAAGCGATATTCCAATTTTGCACACAAGTTAAATTCACAACTTTAAATGGAAACATAGCTATTGTTGAAAACAGTTATGCTGCTTATTTTTGTGGAAAATAATAAAACAATTCCAGGATTCTTTGATTAACAGAAATTTCAAAAGAACAGCATTGGATTCCTTTTTATTAATAATTAATTAATTAATTAATAATAATTATTATTATATATTTTAAATGGTTATGAATGTTATTTTATGGGTCTCGTGTTAGGATGGGAGGGTGTTTATTTACTTATTTATTTTCACTTTATGAAAACCTTGCCCTGTAAATAATAATAAAAATAGGTTCAGAAAAAAAGAACAGCATTTATTAGAAATAGAAATATTTTGTAACATTATAAATGTTTCACTGTTGCATTTGATCAGTTTAGTGCATCTTTGCTGAAAACAAGTATTAATATCTTTCTAAACAGAACAAAACATATCTATATTTTCTTTTTTTTATAAACTGAATGCTTATTTATTGTAGGAAAATATATTGCAAAGCATTTTGTGTGGCAAGTGCTTTAAGACCATTTCATACACTGCAACTACAAGAGCTTAGACAGCAAAACAGCAGCTCTCCTCCCATCTCACTGAGGAATAGTGCGAGAGAAACACACGTAATGTTGACACAGCATTCCTATAGTTAGAGACTGTGTCATCACTCCCCTTTTAAAGGCGTTTTTGAAAGGTTTAACACACAGCTAATAAAAGACAACACAAATACGCTCCAAACAAACCCAACATAAACGTTCAATTAAAGAGACATTTCAGTCTAAAAACAAAAAAACAGAAAAACACCTCAAAACCAGTATGACTTTCTTTCTTTCTAGCACTGGACACGAAAAAAAAAGAGAAATGTATTATGAATAGAGCAGCTTTGACATTCTGCTAGATAAAATTTGCATCAACATGAGCATGAGAGAATGCTATCCCTTTAAAAGTGAACAGCATTCACATACCTGTTTTAAATGTTCTTTCGTTTTTAAAGCTTGATTTATCCCTCTCTTTTCAAAAGGGTGTGATTGGCCCGACTGCTGAAAGTATGCATTGGCTCGGAGTCGTTCGTTTCAGAAAAGACATTAATTATCTCTCTATTAATCAGTTCAGGTGGCCTGTGAAATGTAGGGATATTTATTAGAGCACCGAGTCTTGATATAACATCTCTGATCAACACATTAACAATCCGTGATTTAGTTCCCAGCGTTTGCATCTCTAAACTCCTCTGTTCAAATGCCCCAGCATTCCTTGCATACCTGCCCCCTGGAGGACCTTAGTGATCACCATAGAGACATGACCACCATGCAACTTCCTGTAAAACCACAATGCTGCTCAGAGATACACCTACGTTCAAAAGCCATTCGGGGATGCATAAAAGTTCTTCTGAACTTTCTATTTATCAAACAAATATGTAGGGACCACACATAGTCACATTTGAGGATGGGCTCTTTTGATTTTTGGACAGTAAGGGTCATGAATTTTTTCATGAGTGTTGAGAAATGAGGAAAATTACTCTCACAAACCAGTGAATACACGGAGGAGTTCAAATTCCACATGACTGTTGTTGTCTGTGTATAAATATTCCATGCCACCCACATGCTTGACCCTTTCCTCACAGATCTGACCTCTTCTCTTGTTTATATGCGTCTCGAGTGAAACGCACCCAACCACAACATCAATCAGCCACGCAATAATAAACGCTGAGTACAGCCGAACTCTTCGCAGAGCACAAGATGAACAAGCGGGTTACTGAACAGGGACAGTCGCTTAGAGGGGGGTCGAAGAAGACCACCAGCGCTCGTCCCACCCTGGTCTATCATAAGACTGGAAGATCAGAGGTACCTAAAACGTTCCCAAAAACCCTTTTGGGGGTTCGTTAAACATCTTAGTATTGTTGTTCGGATGAAACTTTTTCTCCACTGATTTTTGCAGAGAACTACATGGAAATCTGCAGAATAGATTGCAAACATGGTAAACATGGTTATTTATGTCTGAACATTTCAGCAATTAAAATGCAATTGTAATGGGAATAGTCTGTACATCAGATATACTGCACATCTGCAGGTGCGCATATATATATATATATATATATATATATATATATATATATTACACACACTCACTCACACACACACACACAGTATATAGACCAACGCCACTTTTGCGTCATCAAAGGGTAACGCCCCCTTTTGGGGGAAAACACCTCTATACTGTCTATGGGAAAACAAACAGATTTCCATGAGAACAGAACTCGCACTAGATCTGCAAAGTTTCTTGATAGCAAAAATGGCACAAACTTAAAGAAGCTAACGTTACTGAATACGGGGTTACAGAGGTGTCCCTTTGAAATGGTCGAAAACTGGATTAATGACCCCACACAGCGGCCAAATATGGACTATTCAGACATCTAACGATACCACTATCTCGTGGAATCACCAAGTAAGTAGCCTTTTTTATTTATTTATTTATCATTTACACACTCACAGTAGCCTAAACTACTAGACGATGAGGCCATGTCACTTGGATCATATTTAACTTGATTTAAGCTATTGACAGTTTTGTTGTCGACTAGCTATTAGAAAGACTAAGCTGTTAGCAGCTAACGTTACCTTATTAGACTATGTCAATAGCTTAAATCAAGTTAAATATGATCCATTCATCGTCTAGTTTGTCATACTGTGTGTTAATGGAAAAAAAAAAGGCTACGTGCTTACTTGGCGATTCCACGAGATAGTGGTATCGTTAGATGTCTGAATAGTCCATATTTGGCCGCTGTGTGGGGTCATTAATCCAGTTTTCGACCATTTCAAAGGGACACCTCTGTAACCCCGTATTCAGTAACGTTAGCTTCTTTAAGTTTGTGCCATTTTTGCTATCAAGAAACTTTGCAGATCTAGTGCGAGTTCTGTTCTCATGGGAATCCGTTTGTTTTCCCATAGACAGTATAGAGGTGTTTTCCCCCAAAAGGGGGCGTTACCCTTCGATAACGCAAAAGTGGCGTTGGTCTATACACTCACCTAAAGGATTATTAGGAACACCTGTTCAATTTCTCATTAATGCAATTATCTAATCAACCAATCACATGGCAGTTGCTTCAATGCTTGGTGATTAGGGCTGGGCTGGGATGATTAGGGATGCATCGATTAATCTAACGATTCATTTTCCCAGTCCGATTC